AGCCTTTCCCCATAGAACTGCTTCATATCTCCTTCCTCCCATTCTTCAGGAGGGCTCCACTGACCTGCAGACCAGCCGGAACAATTCCATTCGTCCTCCTGCTTCCAGTACCATTGACCATACGAAGAGGAGCCTTGGTCCCATTGACCATAATACCAGGGATTATTCCACCACTGGCTTGACTCTCCACGCCTCCATTTGCGTGGTCCGGAAAAAGATGCTCCGTCATCACCATCCACCAGCTCTAGGTCTACATTCATGATCAGTGTACCATCTTCTTCAACCAGATGCACCACCCCTTGCACTTCATCTCCAATCTGAAAGCGGCGACCATCTTCCATTTTCACGGGGACCAACACATCCAAACCACAATGCTCCAACCACACTCCATCCACGTTAATGCAGTTGACAGTGCCAATCAGTGAGTCACCCGCTTCATAAATGCTTGCCATGCGAAGACGGGGCTGCCTCATTGGGCTTTTCTTCCTTTTGCTCCGTAGAAGCTGGCATCGTTTCTTCAGCTCCCAGTTGTTCCCCTGCTTCCACATCTGGACCAAGCTTTTTCTCCTGCGCTTGTATGAGTCCCGCAGAGTCATCCACTTTGCGCTCCAAGGACACAGGATCTTCTTCTACTGCTGTCACCTCCACCGTTGTAGCTTCCTTGGCGTCGACTTCCCGAAAACTACCAGTTGGCGCAATCTCCGTTTCATCGGAGAGGAACCCTCTCTTTGGGTCCGTTGTGCATTCATCCGCAGCAGGCACACTTTCTTCCGCTGCAGGAACCTTTGGCTCCATGAACGTGTACCACCTTGCGCTCCAACCCGTGCCTCCTCTGCACCCCAGGTCTTCTCTTGCGCATCAGCCCGCACTTCATTGGTGCTCCAGTCAGGCAAATCAACAGTGCTACCAGCCACCTCAGAAGTATCGTATCTTCTTTTCCCAGGAAGACGGACGTCCCGGCAATAGTTTGGGAAGACTCATCTGCTGATACATCCAGCTTTTTCCCCAAACCTTCGTCTTTTCCAGACACCATTTCCTGACTGCCAGGCACCACATCCACCACCAAGGCTTCCCGTTAACCCCAAACCCAAGCACACGGACTTTTAACTTTCACTAGACAGCGTACAGCCGTAATTGCGGGTTCATTGACCCTTTTACAACCTCCAATACACTACCTGAAAATAGTGTTACACCATAGTGGCATTTAGGAGGTTGGATTCGCTTAGAAGCAAGTGTTTTTTGCACTTGGACCACCAGCGGATGCTGAAGCCCAACCTAGGTAAAGCGGCAAGCACAAAGCGCGCTGCAGAGTGGGCGAGGGGTGCTGCGTAACTCTCACGGCGAAATCCTGAAGGAAGAATGTACCGTGCACGAAGCTGGCCTGAAGTTTGGCGATGTGTTAACCCTCCAAGTGCGACAGACAACCGTCACAAGCACAAAGACCCAGGGGAAGGCTTTTGCGGCTACAATCGGTGACGGGTGCGTCGTGACTTGGGGTGATTTCGGACTGGCTGACCTCAGCGCCCTCCAAGGGTTACGAAACGTTCAGCGCATCCAGACCAGCCGATATTCCTTTGCTGCTATCCTCGATGATGGGTCGGTGGTCACCTGGGGAGAACCGCTTGATGGCGGTGACAGCAGGCGGGTCCAGGAACAGTTGAGGAATGTAGTGAACATCCAGGCCACCGGTTGCGCATTTGCTGCTATTCTGGACAGTGGATCCGTGGTCACCTGGGGGTTTTCGACTTATGGCGGTGACAGCAGCGGCGTCCAAGAGCAGTTGAAGAACGTAATTGGCATCCAGGCCAATGAGGATGCCTTTGCTGCTATTTTGGACAATGGATCGGTGGTCACCTGGGGAGATCCGGGTTTTGGTGGTGACAGCAGTTCCGTCCAAGAGCATTTGAAGAACGTATTATGCATCCAAGCCAATGGTGGTGCATTTGCTGCCATTCTGGACGATGGATCGGTGGTCACCTGGGGTCATCCGGCCTATGGTGGTGACAGCAGCTTAGTCCAAGAAGAGTTGAGGAACGTAGCACACATCCAGGCCACTAACGATGCATTTGCTGCTCTTCTGGACAATGGATCGGTGGTCACCTGGGGTCAGGCGCGGTGTGGTGGTAACAGCAGCAATGTCCAAGAACAGTTGAAGAACGTAGTACGCATCCAGGCCAATAAGAACGCATTTGCTGCAATTCTGGACAATGGATCCGTTGTCACCTGGGGTCATCGAGATCTTGGTGGTGACAGCAGCATCGTTCAAGATCAGTTTGAGGAATGTAGCGCACATTCAGGCCAATGATGGTGGTGCATTTGCGGCTATATTGGAAAATGGATCTGTTGTCACCTGGGGAGATCCAAATTCAGGTGGTGACAGCAGAAGCGTGCGAGAGCAGCTGAGGAATGTAGCGCACATCCAGGCCAGTAAATCCTCCTTTGCTGCTTCATTGGAGAATGGATCCGTGGTCACCTGGGGTGATCCAACGTTTGGTGGTGACAGCAGTGCCGTCCAAGGGCAATTGAGGAACGTAGCGCACATTCAGGCCAATAGTGGTGCATTTGCTGCTATTCTGGACGATGGATCGGTGGTCACGTGGGGTGTGCCGTCTTATGGCGGTGACAGCGCGGCTGTGCAGGAGGATTTTTTGAGCAGCTGATAGCTTCGTGACACTTGACATGTGCTTTGCTTGAACCTCAGCTGACCCGTGTGAGGAACAAACTGTCCATTGGTGTGAGACCCTTCGTCCGTTCAGGTCAAGATGTTAAGTCACAAGAGCCATTGGAATAATGCTGACAACGATTCTCTTCCCTGAACGGTCGCCCGCCCCCCTTATAAACCAAAGTTGCTTTGTCCGGGAAAAGATGTAAATTAGGTGGGGTCTTGAGGTCCAACATGAAACATGTGTAACATGACTCGTCCCTGATTTGGCCTTCTGCATTTTCAGGGCATTTCTGCATTCAGGCTTCCACCCACGACTTAGAAAGTCCCTGTCATGGTGCAGCTGGCACTCTCCATGTCTCAAATGAGCCATTGAATCTTTGTCCCAAAGACGAGCATTCCTACCATCATATTTGAAGTTTTTTCCTGCAGTCATTTCTCCGACTGCTCATGACTGACGGACGTTTGCATCCCTGCAGTGTGGTTGCGAGTCTGCTAGGCAAGTGGCAAAAGAAACCCTAAACCCCTGTTGGCTTAGCACTAAAGATCCACCTACCATCGGTGCCATCGTAACATGGCTATGTCTCAAACAAAGGCTGACTGTGAGTTCTTTGCAGCAATGCTGCGGGGTATGGTGTTTTGTAGGGGTAGCGATAGGGTGACTACATTAGATGGCGCACAACAGGGGGTCCCGTAGCAGCACCTTGAAGCTGTACACGCAGATATCTTAACATAGGGAACCCGAAAAAGGACCAAAGGTTTCCAATTCTACCCATACGGTACTCGCATGTTCACACGTTAATGGACGTCGATGCAAGACTCACATTCTTGACCCCCAAGCTTTGGCAAGCTGCTTGCAAGCTCTCGAAAGCTCCGAAGCCCCGGAAAGCTTGAAAACATTCCCCGAAAGCTCTAAGCTTCCCGCACCCTGCACTATGCAGAGCTGGAGCTGCGGCACAGCTGCAAGGCACATTCAACACATTTCAACACCCAACTCGGAACCACCTGGACTCCTGGACCCTGGACATCCGACACCGAAACGAAGTCTCCTGGTGACTGGAGGCCTCCACCGTGAAGCGATCAGGAAGCTTGGTGAAACCGTGAGGAGGGCATGTTGAGACAGCGCAAGAACTGGGCCAACTTAGGCCTCACAAGCGGGCAACTTGATGAAAACTTTAAGCTGCCTCGGACTCTGGAACCGGCATTTTGCTGCTTACTGCTACTTGCAACTTCGGCTAAGAGGGTTAGCAAGTACGAGAGTCGAATGTACTGGTTGAACTGATTGGATTTGCTGCACATGTCCTGTTCTAGCGCGGCAGAACATGCGAAGGAACGCCAAGCGAGCGAAGACCCTCAACCCTTAATACAAGCTCGCTGTGCATTCGCGATGAAAACTTCTTGGTCGAGCAGACGGGCACTAAACGTAGCCAGAAGCTGCACCATCATGTGTAGCGGAACAGAAGCTTGAGGTCTTCAGCATCGGGGCAGCCTGGTTCCTCTAAGCTTGCACACAGATCTGCATACTCACAGACAAAGGTGGCTAGCAAGAGACCCCCCACCAAGAAAAGAGACGCTGAAACATGGAAGCCTGGATTCCCGAGTCCGTTTCGCGATGAGCAGGTGCTTGCACCCATTTGCTGTTCAGAAGCTCGGAAGTCTTGGAGTCTTCAGTTGTCAGGTAACTTTTCATCGGTCATCGCAAGACCTCGTCTACGACAATCCTGCTTAACCAAAGAGATTCTTCCCGCAGCACCTAGACGACTGCATCTTGCCCTGCAAGATGCCAATTTCTGTGACTGTTGGCATGAACTGTTGATGGGAAGAGACGCGAACAGCTAGCGAAAGCGCGGCAATCTGTACAGCTTTGAACAGAGATGGAACCTCAGCAAGTCGGCACTCACAATGCCCGAACATGAAGCACCTTCCATTTCCTCCCACAATGCCGATTTACTGGGATGTCGCGACCATGCCTTGCCTCTGGACTCAGCGGCAAGGCGCAAGCGTGATGCAAATGAGGGGCAAATGTAAAGAGCAAAAAACAGGTTGGGCGCCCCTTTATCAGACAACAACCCTTAAACACCTCAGCGGCCAGGGCGAGAATCCCCGCGAATCTCCGGCTAGGGATCTAGGATTGCAGGAACTGTTGTTTTCGCTGCAGTCACCAAGTCCGGTTTCAAAAAGGGTTGCACACACCTCCCACTCCGAGAATCTTGAATGCTGCTCTGGCACCACAGCGCTACAGCGCTACAGGTTCAAGTCTTTCCACGTAGGAGCATGCTGCAAGTCTTTTCTGGACTTGGACTCATGAGACAAACCTTGGGGCATCGAAAGACCCTACATGGTTGTCGCCTGGTCTCACTCAGTTCAGTGCACGATCCTCTACCGGATCTGCAGCCCGTTTCTCTTGGGACTGGTTTTGGAGCTGCTGCTGGCAGCAGGTCGGCCACACATTCCCTCGCAATGGAGTTGTCGTGGCCAGGTTGAGATGCAATCTCTGCGAAGGCTTCAAGCACAGGTCGGGCGGCTGATGGAACACGATCACCTCCCGGCGATCATCGTTGAAGGAGATAAGGCTTCGATCAACTTTGCCAGGTTTTTATTTGAAGATACGTGTCTTGGTGCACGCTGGACAATGGAGCTATTAGTCGCAGAGTTGGCCATGAAGAACTCTGAGGTGGGTAACAATGGCAGCAGCTGGGCCGCGGCACTCGCAGCAGATGGTGACATCCACGATCCGTTTACCGTGTTTTTTCGTGTGGAGGCACCACGTATGTTGCTGTTCCATGAGCTGTTGTGGGGCACTGGCACTGCCTGGGCTTCTGTGAGCGCCGGTGGTTGGAGCACCTTTGCTTTGATGGCGAGGCTGTCTCGGTCCTTTCAGACCTATCTTACGAAGCAAGGCAAGGCAGCAAGCGAAGCTTTGGAGGCTTTGCTGCGGCTGCAACCTACCAAGGCGAGACATCACATGGCAGAGCGAGCCCCTGCGGTCCTCTCCACTGCCCAAGCCTTCCTGCAAGCCGCAAACTTGTCCGAACCCTGGGCACACCGTGCAGCAGCGACAGCTGCTGCAGAGAAGCTGGTACGAAGTTGGTCACGCGCGGCTTTAAACGTGGGCTTGCCACCGTGGCAGTTAGTTGCTGCACTGCTGCTAGATGCCCAGGCACCCCATTTCTGGCATTTACTCGACGAAGTGCTATTGCCGGACGCCGTGCGCATTTGCATCCCTCAAGTGCTTGGCATGCAGTCTTCCAGTCGGTGCTCGGCAAATCATTGCACCAAGTTGTGGGGCTTGGACCAAGCTCAGCCTGTGCATGCTCAGAGAAACCACAGCGCAGTCGGAGATCTTGCTGTTTTTCGTGTTGAGTCGAAGCGTGATCTCTTGAATGACAACATCCGAAGCGAGTGCAACATCTCATGCCCACAAGCGGTCGTCGGCCTTCTGGGCAAGGTATCCGAAATGTTTAGAGATCAGGTTGTGCCCGGAACAGCTTTTACCTACGTGGACGTGGGAGCGGCACTTGGTGAGTGCATGATGTCAGCCGCCTTCCTGCTACCAGCAGGTCGACTCCATGGCATAGCATTCGAAGCTCTTCCCAACTGGGCCAGTCGCATGAGGGAGACTTTGCGCATCAATGGCATCTTTGCTTCCGGGCTCCCCAACAAAACGCGCGTGCTGGTGAGGAGTGTGGCTTTGGGCAGAGGGAAGTCAAAGGTGCTTGGTACAGCAGGTGGGCCGTGAAAATAAATTATACACATTCACTTCCCGCCCTACACGTCTAAGTTTCCACAGAATGCCCCAAAAACCCTTATCCCAAATGGTTTTCTCTTTCAAACTCTGCTTGCACTCAACCCGAGGCGGCTGGGGCTTTCACATGGAGCTTGGCGGACGACCCATCACTCTGAGAGGCTCAAGCCTGGATACTGAAATGGCAAGGATGGGCATTGCTTGGGTGGACCTACTGCACGTCTTCGTGGCGAATGCTGAGCCAGCAGCTGGGTAACATAGAGGGCCTGTTAAATTCAAGGAGTGGGTCTATTGAGTCGCTTGTAGGTTTCTCAGACGGCGACTTTGGGGTTCGAACATAGGTTCTTGTGTTGATCTCATTTTGAGGCTCCCTGATGCGTTCTTGAGGCCTTGTGTCTGGTGCCTTAAGCGCATCTTGGTGTCGCTTTCCGCGTCGCTCACATATCCCTTGTAATGTGTTGCTCGATTTCTGTATGGATAGCGTCGCATTTCTTTGCGTGCTTTCGACCAAGTACAGAAAGGCAGTCGTTGAGGGCGCCAGGCAGCTGCTGAAGGAGAATCGCGTGGGCTGCGCGCTTGTGCAGACATACCTCAGGAAGGACTTGACAGCTCCTGTCGTGCGAATGCTCAGATCGAGCGGATACAAAGTCAGCAACTACAGCTTTGCGATTCCTGAGCATTCCTTTCGACTGCTGGCGGCAAGCCCTGCCAAAGCCCTTGCACTTTCGGGAGGAGCAGTGTGTGACCAGCGCTTCTTCCAGTGGTGGCTGCGAAGGAGACACGACCTGAAGCAAGCAAGCTCCCGAGCCTAGCTTTTCAGCTGCCCGTACTCAGAGCCCAACCCTGATTGGACCACCAGAATGCAACTGGCGTTCTGCAGGTGGAGGTGCGGGCAATCGTGCGTGACCTACGAGCATGGCGGGCATGGCATGCATCGCCAGAACAGTCACTTCGCAAGAATTTGGCTGCTCTCTGCTGGCTCCCTGTGTCAATCGAGGGCTTAGGGCTGTAGGCCTGGGCAAACTGCTGTCCAAGAGCTGCTGTGCTGGGTATCTGCTTGGGTTTCTGCTTTGTCTTTCAGAACGGTGTCCGTGCCTGTGCCCACTCGGGCACATTAGCAAAGCCACAAGCTTGACTGTAATTGGCTAAAGCAGAAAAGGCTCAAACTCTTGGAGAAGGCATGGGGTTCGGCCGTGCTGATTCCAGGGGCAAAGGGTCGGACTCTCCCAAAGTGTAGCCCGGCCGTCGCCGCCTGACTGAAATGTTGTTGATGAACCCCGACATAGCAACAAGCTCCAGGTTCAAAGCCTGCATGTAGGATTCGCAGTGATTTAGCACCAGCTAGCCCCACGCCCACAACATCCCACAACAAGGTCTTAAGTCTGAAGCCACTTCCAAAAAGCATCAGGCTACATTGTCACCTGCAGCTACAAGCTAGGAGTACTGCCCATGACATTGCCCCCCTTCTACAAAGAGCGGCCAAAGTATGGAGCCGCACCGGTGCCATGGAGATGTGCATATGCGAACCTCTTCATGTGGTGCCTGAACGAACCTTGTCGTGCGACAAGCAGGCATTGCAGGGTTTGGCAAGCACTGGGCCGGTGACTGCACAAACATGTGTAGGCCAAGCACACGATGACGGAAGGACAATCACACACGCACACGCAGCGCAATGCTGTGACACAGCTTGCAGGAGCTCCCCAAACTAGCAGAGATGTGGCAAGCCTTTCCCTGTTTCAAGAGGGTCTGGCGGTCTGTCATTTTCAGCCTGCAGGCGTTTTTGAGAGTTCTAGCTTAGAGAGTTCAGGGGTCAGGCGAACAATCAGGCTTGTCATGTGCATGAATGAAAGACTTAATGAGTATGGTCTGCACCTGTGAAGCTCAGGTCGTCTGGAGTCATGCGCATCTCATGGGGATGCCTGGTCCGGAGCTCAGCTCACGCGACCTTCTTTGCAGGGAGCACGGTCAACCCGCTCAAAAAACACACTCTTCTGCCTTGTACATGGGTCGCTTTGAAGCCTTGACTCCCTCATTCAGTATGCGGACTCGCTCGGCAGGAACCTCAAGTAATTTCAGTTTTCCTCTGGAACCTTCGCTGCCCAGGAGGAAGTCTGGCAATCAGGTATAGGGGTGCTTTTGAGTTTTTTAAACCCCCCCCCCCCCCCCCGCCCAAGCCCCCGGCCATGGCACGCCCTCCACCTGTCGAGACGAGGAATCTCTTGGGCGAGCCTCCCTTCTTGACACTTCAGCGCCAGAAGCTGAGAGCAAAAGTCATGTCTGAGCAAAGAAGGGGAAACCGGAAATCCTTGACCTTGAAGCTGACAACCTTAAGGATTCCAAGGCTTGCTGCTTCGGTTGAAGGCTTGCTTTCCTGGTTCCTTGCTTCACGCAGTCAAAAAAAAATCTGTTCCTGTAGTCAAGCCTGGCGGGGGAGGGTGGGAGGGAGGGAGGGAGAGCGAACGAGAGAGAGCGAGAGAGAGAAGAGCGAACGCGAGAGAGAGGGGCAGTTTCTTTCGGGGGTAAAGTGCTCTGGAAGGAAGGAAGAGAGGGAGAGAAAGAGAGAGAGAGAGCGAGTTCGCAGCTGAGTGCAAGCGCACGAGGCATCCGCGCACCATGCATCCTCCACCGTTAATCAAGCGAGGCAGCAGACAAAAAGACATAAGAGTCTTCTTGACCCAAAAACTAGTTAGAAGCAGTGGATTGGGCTTCCTGTGAGGTCTTGGCTGCGCATCGCGCCTCCGGAGCCTCCGTGGTGCAACAGAAGAGCTGCTGCGACGCTCAGCAGAGTCCATGCATTTCAGGGGAGATTCGAGCGAGGCGCTGACAGGTGCACTATGCCTCATGCAAGCCTCAGCGTCCAGCAGCTCGAATCGCGGCTGCGTTTCCTTCATACAAGCTTGAAAAGTATCGCTAAACGGGAGCGAGAGATCACCTTCCAGCACTGTAGTTGATGAAGATTCAAGCGTCCAAGCGTCCATTGCACATGAGGCCAATCACTAAAGATATGTCCAGGACATGCCAAGTCCAGGCTATAGTGACTAGTGGCTGAGAAGCTGTGCTCTTTGGGATCTACAAAAACTGGCACGCGATGCGGAGAAGATCGAGGCAAATTCCGAAAGATTGTCTTAAGATGGCCATCGGCCAAACAAGGCCGCCGAGTACAAGTGGAGGTAGTTTGGTGAAGGTTTGTCGGCCCTGAAGGGCCAGCAGTGCACGTGCACCGTAGTCATGGTGGGGGCTTGAAACATAAAATGCCCTTGACGGCGAGTTGTTGTTTCCAACACCTGGCTTTGTCCAGAAGCTCCTGCTCCTGTGTTCGCGGCAAGTCTTCAGTGGGCTCTCTTGGAAAGCTATCAGAATGAGATGAGCAAGAAGTCATGCGTGTGCTTGAGAACAATACGGCCTTGACAATGCAGGCAACATTTAAAAAACTTGTATCCTGACGTGCCCACGCAGAGATATTCGCCGAGAATGCCTGGAGTTTCCATCCCCAGCAAGCCCGGCGGAGTACATCGGCAAGTTTTCTTGGAGTTCCCATTTTCCGAGAGGCCATAAGAGAAAGTTCCGTCGTGTATTCCTGAAGTGCCCACTCCTTATCCCTCGGAGTGCCGTCTGCGCGAACCACAACAGAATCCTGTGGCGACGAACCTGAACTAGCTGCGCGAAATCTGCAGGACAAGATGGGCGGTAAAAGGTTTCGGAGGGCCGAAGAGGATCCCAAGCTGCCCCTTTGCTCTACTGAGGAGCAGAGAAACTGGATTCTTCGGCACTTCGGCGGTCCTTTGACTGGGCGCGTTGCGCCAAGACGGAGCAACGCTTCAGCCGCGCCTTGCACGCCACAAAGGGCATCACTGTGTAGGGCAGCGGGTGTGGGTTTTGGGGGGGCCAGTGAGGCTGAACAATGTAAGAAGCGTCGATGCTTTCTTGGTGAAGTACTCACAAATCATAAAACGTTGACATATGAAGCAAAGGCCATAGGCCCTTTCAAGGCCTGCGCTTGCCAGGACTGTCTTTAGACGAACTGGCAGCCATTCGGCTATGCCTGGAGCAGCCGCACAACGGTCACTTGGCCCATCGGCCCTCGAGTTCTCGAGTTCAGGATCCGGCTCAGCCCAAGTGACACTAGACTCACTAGACCAAAGAGTTGGAATCTCAGTACCTTTCTTGGCACTTGGCCATCCGTCTAATCAAACAGAGGGGGAAGATGAGGCGACTCCGGTGCTCGTATACTGCCTGTGCCTGCTGAGGTGAGTCTACGCCGGCCGTGCTCCTGGCACATCTCCAGGACTCTGCATTCGCTGAGTCGCAGTTCCTTAGGCGCTTAGATGCCGTGCTTGTCTTGGGCTCCTTTAGCACGCATACTCAATATTCAAGCTCTTGAAGGCGATGTAGTTTGAGTCGTCACAGGCCCAGCGCCATTCTTGGAACAAACTCTGATTGCTGAAGTCTCGCACCCCCACCCCCGAGTCCAATACTTGCTACTCTAGAGTGGCAGGAGGATGCCTGGTTCGCGGCCATGAACCGCTTTCTCACATCAAGGCGGGAAAGCTGTAGATAGGCCAGCTCCTTGATCATCTGCACGCAGCGTGCCCCATATGAAGTTCGATAAAGTTGTTTTTGCCCCTGCTGAGTCCCGTCTAGTTGCCTCAGTCGCTCGCGAAAAGGCATCCTGCCATCGGCAAGGTGTCGGAGACGGTCAAAGGCCGTTGGAATCGTTGGAACCTTGTTTTGAAATCGAAGCGTTAAAGTATTCCTCCTGCGCCGCTTAAGCTCCGCGTGACGGCTCGGGGCACCCATGGCTTCATGACGGCTCCATGGCTCAGACTTCTCAAGTGCCCTAAATTCAAAGCTCGCATGCCCTTCCTTGGTTCTTTTTTCTCACTTCTGTGGCATCTTCTTTTGGTCAGGTGCCTCCTCGGCTTGGCAGGCCCAGATTTGTGTGTGCTTGGTACGTTTTTGTGCTGTCAACACTGGGGTTTGAGCAGGCAAGAGGTAAGTGTATATTCAGTGTCTTTTGGGCCGTGGTTGCCGGCCGGAGGCGCAAGTGCTGCTTTTCCAAACCGACCTTTATCCAACCGAGACACCTGGACCATGGAATAGTTGAGATGCAGACGCACGAATCCTCTAATCCGAAGCTCCGTTACATGATACAAAGCTGCGGACGGGACCAGAGCCCGGAATAGTCTACTGATCACGATGGCATTTAGGATGCTCATAAGGGCCAGAGATGGCTTGAAGGCTTGGAGCCAAGCTTCTTTTCAAAATGAGTTGGACGACGCTGGGCTCACGGTGAGTCTCCCCTGCCTTTCAACTGACAGGTTCTGGTTGCGGATGTCGTGTCCGGCCTGACTGCCTTGCGGCTGCGAGATCAGCAGGAGGCGCCTCAGAGGGCGCATGTCGTCTGTGGGTTAAGAGAAACTGAGAGACAGCGCAAGTCGGTATACGATACAAATGATGGTCGCTCTACTTGATTGCGCTGTAGTTATAGCGCATCTTCTTGCTGCGTCTAGCCTCACCCGCAAATGTGGCAGGCGAAACATAGTCACAGTCGCTGCTACCGCCTTTGCTGGATCCCGCAGCAAAGCTTCGACACCCTTTTCGGTGGCCCGGCCTATTTTGGTTCGGAGATGTTTGGATTAGGGCACGGGGGGGCTGGGGGGGCTGGTGTTGCAAGAGGTTCCAAACCGAGCGCGGAAGTCATCACAACGACATAGAGGACCGTGCAAGAAAGCATGCGATGGCCCTGCGGATGAAAACGGTCACGACAATGAGATGCCGACCAGCTGGCAACAAATCTGATGCAACACCGACAATGCACGGCACCTGAGCCGTCGGTGCTTCACACTGCGGGGCTCTGGAGACGTGTTGGACTTGAGCCACAGCCTCCCCGCACCGGCACTGCACAGCTATATCAAGGGAAATCATATCTTGGTGCACTCTGGTTTTGTTTGTTCCGGCCCGTGCGAACTGTATCGAGGGGGCCGACAGAGCTGGCAAAAGATATATCCCATAAACGGCAGTGGCATGTACCTTCATCGCCGGGTCACGGCAACATTTGATGACAACGTGCGAACTGTCTGGAAGAGGTATGACAGAACACATCAGAACACAAGCAGAATGTGAAACTAAAATGCCCAATCTTTACAAGATCGCCCCTGAAAAGCAGAAAGAGGTAACCACAACTCAGGAGAAGCACAAGAGGCACAAACACCTAGATCCAGTCGGAGTTGCGCCGGTGGAGCATGTTCAAGCAGAAGCTGCTCTACAGTTGCCCGCCTCCTTTCATGGCAGGAAGTTGCGCGGCGACTTTTCCGACCTTGCCAATTGCTACCCACACACTTTTTTTTGCCCAACGGGCCACACGGGGCACGAAGTACGGCCAAAAGGGCAGCTGTTTGGCAAGCTGGCCACATCCGAGTGTTTTGTTTTCTTCCCACTGCGCGTTGTGCATCAAAGACCAACCCTGCCAAGGTGCTCAGGCCGAATGCTACAACGATGGCAGACTCTCGGTTGCAGCCACATGTGCGTCTCTGAAAGTTTGAAGGGCCTGAAGCCTCTGCAAGTCACGCTTGCAAGCCATAGGGTTGAGCAGCTGGCTGGGTGACGTTGTCTCCTCCTTGAGAAGTATCATTGCATAGGACTCAAGTTTACAACGCCAGATGCGATCCGGAAAACTCCATTGAACACTGTTTTGGGGGGGAAAGGAAGGGGGGGGGAAGGGGGGGGAAAGCGGGGGGAAAGGGGGGGGAAAGGGGGGGAAAGGGGGGGCCTTCTTCTTTTCTCTTCATGTACCACACATGGCCCGCCAAGGTATCCGCGAGTCTAAAAGAAGAAGAGTCTGCCTTGAACACAGGCCAATTGCTTTGCTTCACCGGCCTTCAACGAGTCTCTCTGGGCTGCACCATGTAAAGCGCAGCAAGCCCGAGGAGGGGGTCAGAGTTCTTGGAGCCGTTTTGTGAAGGGAAGCGATCTGCACACCCCGTGGAGCCGCCTAAGTCTGCAAATTCTTGTACTGTGATGAGTCACGCGCTCAACCGTGTGCACTGTCCTCGTCGAAGCGAGTGTCGAAGAGAAGTTTAATTCAGATCACCACTCAAATGCAGCTTACGAAGCTCAGGCTAGCAGCGCCGAGCCCTGGCAAAGCTTGGCCCAGCTGCCTCAAGGCTGCGTGCCGTTGCTTGGCACCAACAGAGCGCGAAGGGAGGGAGAGAGAAGAAGAAGAGAGATGGGATTGTTGAGGTGTTTGACGGCCTCAGAGGGGAACCTAGGACCTAGGAGCGCAGCAAGGGAGGCCATGGGGCAACTCCATAGCCGAGTTGTAGGGCAAGCTTTTGTTTCTAGTTGATGGCCCCCCAAAGCCAACCAATAGAAGATGGCGGAAGGGTCAGGAGGGCTAACTTTGAATAGTAAGTGTCGGGCGGTTCCACATTCCTGGCCGTCCTGGCCAACAAGCCATCAGCCATCGGCAGAGCCAAACCGGGGAAAAGCCAACATGCAGTCCCTGGTCAATTTTAAGCCTGGACCTCGCACTCGGGGGCGCTCACGCGCGGGGGGGGTGGGGGGTCTCGCTCGGGCCTCTTCAAGCCCAGCAGAAGAAGAAGAAGAAGAAGAAGAAGAAGAAGAAGAAGAGAGATGCGACCCAAGCCCCAAGAAAGAAATTCGAGTCGAATTTTGGGGAAGGTAGTCGATGAACGAAAGAAAGACTGGACATCGTTGCTATGTTTGGTTTTCCAAGTTGCACCGGGAGGCTTTGGACTAAAATAGGGCTTAGGACACAAGAGTCTAAACATTGGGGGGGCCCGGGGCTTAATCGGCCTGACCACGCGGTTGTGTCAAAAGGCCAGCTATCGTTAGACCAAGTTCTGCCAGGACTTGTTTATGGCGCAGGGTTGTAGGTTCAGGGCCCTTGTGAACTCATGGTCATCCCCGGAAATGCATTGCCGGAGTTGAGAAGGCGAACTCCTGTTACTGCTCCCGAGCCATCTTCCTGAAAGATGGCTTGAGTTTCAGGGTGAGGGCCCGGCATGCCGTCAGATGCCTCCTCGAGTTTGATGCGGCCATCACTCGCCGATCTGGCGAGGTGCAAGACTTCCTGGATGGAGCCCGGGCATGACAAGCCATAGAGGGTTTGCGGAGTTTGCGGGATCAGGGGCGTTCGAGAAGCTTGGCCGGGCCGACGGGGGGCACACAGAATGTTCTCTCGAACCCTCTTGAGAAGCGCATGGGGACCCTCTCTGCTCACGAGGCCAAGCCTGGAGATGAATCGTCCAGCATCGGAAGGAAAAAGGAAACAAGAACGAAATGTACGGCGTTAGCATTTGCCGGTCAGGCGGCATGTGATGTTTCCTTCGCAGTAAGAAGCTCGTTTTTCAGAGGCCCACAAGACCCTTCCAAGCTAAACTTCAGAATCAGATGTGAGGATCTGCAGCGGGTATCTCCGAGGCGAGGTGCAGCTGTCCTGGTAAGCAACGGGGTGTACCTTGGGCTTGGGCTGCTTGTACATTTTGAAGCCATTGGCAAAGCCCATGAACTTCGTGAACTTCACATGTTGAGCAGCCTGCCCTCGCAGCTTCTTCTTCCTCCCTTCCTTCGGGGCCACGTCCGCGGCGTCCATCGAGAGAGTGCTCCGGCGCCGCTCCTTGGATGAGCCAGATGAGTCTACTTAAGAACGAGTGTATTCGGAAAGTAGAATGACAAAATCGTTCGTCCGAGCAGGGCTTGCACATCGTTACGGCGTTGTCTTGCGTGGTTTCTCGTTAACGGTGGCTCCTCTGTCCAACGCGCCGAACCTGTAACATGTGCAACTAAGTTACCCGATTTGCAGCACATCAGATGAGCCTAACTCGTATTAGGCCCTCGATCCGGTCACAGTCATGGCGTGCGCTGAGATATCACGCCGACGTCTTCCGCATACAAATCGCAGGCTTGACAGAGGCAGTGGGGTTGCCAGGCATTTTTGCACACAGAACGCGCTGTTTGGAAGTTTATCAGCTGATGAAAGGAGTGTACACTCTGCTCCCATGGTGTGACCAAAATTGTCGGGCCCATAAGAACACCAAGGCCTTCAGGCCCACTCGATTTTTTTGTGGTTTCGATGCAGGCCGCGTTTTCAGACGAAGTGCTGGAAGCTCCGCCAGAGGCAGGTCTGCATTGTGCGAGGGTAGAGGCAACGTCTTGGGCTTAAAGTGAGACCTGACTGGGCGGAGTCTGTCGAGTGCGCAGATAAGCTTGTTCACATTCCTGACAGCGAGTTGTTGCCTTGCAGTGTTGGCGAAGCTGCAGACTGGCCTCGCAGTTGAGGAAGCTGTAGAACTGGTACGGTACTCGGACCCTTTAACCTCCCAACCTCCCGCACAAAGCACCTAAGCACCAGACTCTTCGTTGCTGTGAGCCTCACGGCCCCCAAGCTCAGGCCGTGCTGGTAGCAGCAATGTTCCTGGCTCTTCAAGCAAAGCCTGCCAAGGCTGGCGAGCCTGTGTTGAAGTGAGCTTGCAGGCAGGTATCCAGGTATGTCCAGGCTCTCGGTAAGCACTCTTTGTCCATTCTGGCTTCAACCTGCTCCAAGTCGTATGTCGATACTCCTTGAGCCCTATGATGACTAACAATTCAAGATTGCAACTAGTGCAGCATTAGCGGGATTCGGAGATGGAGTGAAGTAAATGGCTTGTAGACCGGGGGGGAGGTTAAACAAAGGCAGTTCTCTGCGAATCTGGGCCCACTGATTTCATCTCCTGCTTTGCCGCAATGAGCAGTCGAGCTGATCTGGCAAAGGGCTATCATTGTTCTCACTGCTCGTTTGTCTCAAACCTCTCGAACACAATGTCGGCATCTTTGCTAGGGGCTGGAGCCGGCGGAGGAGCCATGCTGCCGAAGTTTGCGCTGCATTGTGTGTGACGAGAGTTCCAGTTTCTGAAGCAAGGCAGGTCAAACCAGCCATCAGAACACAGCCTAATATTTACCCTAGCGGGAACTGTAATTAGAGGAGTTGGCGCCCGCCACATCGCCTCAGCGTGACGATGCCGGTTTCAAGGAGGAGTCAGCTGTTGGGGGCGCATTGGGGGTATGCCCTCTGGGTTTGGCGTGTCGTGGCTCTGGTGGCACTGCCCGTTGTGGGCCAAGGTCATGGGGTCATGGTAGCACTCTGGGCAAGGTACGTCTGCCATGTGCTTCCATTGCTGCACGACAGAGACAGAAAATCCTGAAGGACTCCAACAGCATGGGTCAGTTGCTGACTGGTGCTCCGGCCCATGGAATCTCGGCCTGTTTTGATTCCATTAGCCGCTTCTCCTTGCAAGAAGTACATTCTCGAAAGATGTTTATACAGCTCCAGGAAGGCCAGAAGTGCGCGAGCTGCGTGGTGACCTCAACCCTGAACCCTAAAATCGACTCACAAGGCCCTTTGAAAGTTTGGGCGTGGGGTCAAGGTTCAAAAAGCTTTTCGGGCTCTTCAGGTGGTCTGGGCCATGCGAAACCTCAAAACGAGCGGACAAGAGTGTCAGGCTCAGAAGTCTCAGGGCCCACCTCTTGCCTGAGGTCAGGCTGACTCGTTGCCCTCCTTGCCTGCTTCGTCCGAGGCGCACGGTCAGGTCTTGAGTTGAGAGCAGATCTCCACTGTGGAAGGGCTTGTGAAGCGAATCGATTCCTTCCTTCATCCCTTCTCACCTTCTTCAGCCCTGTCTTGATCCTCTCATCCCCTCCGATTTCGCAGGCTCATGGCACAAGAGGTAGAAAGTGTGCGCACAGCCTCAGAACCCAGCAAGGACGCCGGCATCGTGGGCAGGTTTTTTGCGCACCTGGCAGCTGCGCTCCGGGCACCCTGGGCTTTTGAGGAATTTGTCGGAATTTGTAGAGATCGAAAGCGCTGCAGAGTTTAAGCCTCCATCCGCTTCTGGTTGTGCGACTTTCGTCACGGATCACGAAGCCCGAGAAGCCAAAGACATGGCTAAGCGAACAGCGTGGTCTTGGTCATGCTTTCATGTATGATGAGTTACATGTTCAAGGATTTTAATTTAAGGACCTCTGCATGTCCAGCCGTCTCTCAGGTACGAAGCCCCAACGAGGTCGGCAGCGTGTGGAAAGGCTACTTGGAGTGCGCCCTGGATGGAAACAACCCTTGGAAGGAGCGACATCGTGCTTTGTGCTGTACAGGGTGCTGCAAATCAAAGGTTAGGACGGTTAGGGGTTCATTTTCAGAGGCCGGTGCATTTCAGATTGAACCGAAGTCGAATTTGCAGGAGTCTGCCAAGCTGTGTCGGGCCGCTCCCCTGTTCAAAGCGGTCGGCCAAAATTCACGTGACATCATTCCAGCTGGTACTCTCCGAACGTCATCCAGCTCCTGTGCTCTGAAGCTTTCTGAAGGAGGCAAGAAATTGGCTCGCAGCTGCGGGCCCCGAAGGAAAGGTAACACCCCACGGCCTCCTGCGTGAAATTGTCTTTGCGCACGCTGCGTGCCCTGCAGTGCGACCCAATCAGCGAGGTAGGTGGCGAAAGAAGAACCCCTACTTTAAGACCCTCAGAACCCCGAGGCAAAGACATAAATGGAAATATGAAATTTCTAAAGAATAGCAAAATTTGAGGGACAAATTTATGAAGATATTAGAAGCATCCTTTATGCTCATACTTGACATTATCTCAAGACAGATGATGTTGCGACATCCTGTTTCTTGGCTGCATGGGAGCATTGCTGTCTGGCAGGAGCTTGGAAACACACTACAGCTCGGGCCCATTGGCATAGCCAGGAGAGCATTGAACCTGAGGATGCTAGTAGACCTCGAGGGTTTCAAGCAAAGCTCTCGAGTTTGGCTAAAGAGGTGTAGTTGGCTCAGCCGTGGTTGAGAGTTCGGCCCGTCCAGATGTAGGCCTGAGTACTGGTGGGACCGGTGTTGCATTCATGCCATGCCCGCATGCAAAAGTGCCGGAGAACTGCCACTAGACTGTCAGCATTGTTTGCATTCTGGGCATCTCCTCATAGGGGTACCGCGGACCCCTTGCGAACCCCAAGCGCTAGTCAGATGATGGGAACCCCAAAAAATGGCAAAGCTAGTCCTGGACGCATCCCACTTTTGCGAGTGTCCGTATCAGCCCTTCACGGAAATGTAAACTCGTCTCAATCCCTTGTTGCCTCGCAGGACGGCGGTCGTCGGCTCAGCAAGAGCCTCCCTGCGCGTCACGAAGCGCGCGCTGGGTTTTCAAAGCTGTCTCAACTTCGATGCTGGGACTGCATGAAGAAGATTGAGAGCCTAAGTTCTGTCCCACCCCTCCGATTGGACTTGCATGCTCTCCTTCGCGTGAAGGTCATTATGCACGCCTCTTATGCGTTTGTTCTGATTCTGACCTCCTTGTCAAGGAAGCTATGAACGAGCAGTACTGCCGCCAGGCGCTCTCGCGTTTCTGGGTGGCTCATGAAAGACACGTGCATCTAGACATTGAGTGTCACGTGGTTTATGCAGGCCTTGGTTTGATGACACCCGCCTTGGAAAACTTGTAAGCCTGTGTGGTCTCGAGATTCACCGGAAGCCGCGGAAGGAGAAGACATCACCGACCTATGTTTGCACCTCTTGCGTTGTTCCTGCCTCCAGACAATTCTCCTCCCCAGTGCATCCGCGTTCAAAAAACTCGACAAACATCATCGATGAAAGCCTGCATGACTGTACAAATCTAGCTAAGTCAGGGATGCGTACAGCGCAAAGGAAATCCTGCTAGACGTTTTATGCTTGGATAAGTTTTGCTGCTCCTTAGAGTTTGTACATATGATGACACGTCTCAATACCATCAGAGCGACACCAGGCCGAGAAGTTGGAAGCACTGAGACATACTGCCGTGGGCTGCGCTCGAGAACAGGCCGGTTTCCATGCCTCGTGCTTGAGGGCAGAGTGGGCACACACTTGGCCAATGCCTCTTTCACCTGTCCTCAAGGGGAATGGGGAAGCCGAGATTAGTCACATGTTTGTGCTAGAGCGGCACAACACAGGTCAGCGCTCTAGAGCTGGAGACACTCTCAGACCCAGAAGCTTTCCTCCGAGCCCTGGCATCCGACAATCTCATGTGTCTAGCGCCGGCTTTCGATTACACCGATGTGGGGTTTTTGCCAGTGGAGGTTGGAAACCTGACCGGCCACGCGTGGTCCATTTCGCTTCATGCGGGTTCCATGCGATCGGCGCCTCATGACGATGTGCCATAGAAGAGTCCCGCTAAGGATTCCTGGCGCATGATCCTGTCCGAGCATTGCGGGTCGCCTGTTTGCTATGGGCCATGCCTAACCCCAAGAACCTCGGCAACCTCAATGTTTCGGAATACTCGCATAAGTCAAATAGAAAGGATATCTGTGGCATTCCTGCAGAGGGTTCCAGGCATGCCCAGGCAAGTCAGATCTCTGACTGTAAGTAACTTCCTGCAGCAGGCAAAACACAAGATAGATCTCGGCATGGTGCATTACGTAGAGCTTGGTGCCACCACACCCCCCCCCCCCTCCCTCCCGGTTCGAACCTTTTTGGCGACTCTGATGCTTGGCACATCCGACTGGTGCTGACTTGTGCCTCAGCGATCATGAGATCAAGACGAGCATCTGTATGTTTTTTTGTTGACCTACAGCTTGGTTGTGCTTGCCCTGCGGGGCTGTTGGAATGCCGATGTCAGCAGATATTGTGAGGGTACACAGCTTCTGGGCTGGACCTAGCGTTCACACTTCATCGATGCCTGCTAATTCGCCATCGAGGCCCTGGAAAACTCCATTGTGATTTTGTTCATCAAATCCCTCCCCAACTCAGAGGATGCGGGCTGATGGGTTTCGAAGTGTCAAAACGTGCATGTACTTGTAAGCCACGACAAGCCATGTGGAAACTACTGCATTTAACATGTTGTCATCATCATCATCGCCATCGCCATGTCCTTGTACATTGTGATGCACAAGAAGGTCCCAGCCCAGCGGCTTACACAGTGTTGTTCATCAAAGCAGCCAAAACGCTGTAAGGACAAGAGTTTCGGGCATGTTCGCACAAGACATGAACGCCAGTGACAACGCATCTTGTTCCAGAAGCACGGAGCATCCTTCTGCAGTATGTTGAATAAAGTTGCGAAAGCGCTGTAAATACCACTAGTCGCAGAAGGCATGAAACCTCCCCACTCTCAATCGACGAACACGGCCCCTCTCTGAACCACAGATAGTTGTTGGCCAAGCCTGGCCAAACCTGCTTCGCGTTTTGGATCCTCAGGCTACACCTGCGATCTTGAAGGCCGATATGCTGGATAGTGACGTTGTAGCATGTGTTTTCAGGGGGTGGGCTATGGTGCATGCCACTCCAGGCTCAGGGTCTGCATCGGCATGCTGGTTCGTAGGGGTTAAGGTGAGTGAGTGGGAGGGGGAAAGAGGGGCCACACCAAACGTGTCCTGCACAGGTTTACCAGAACACTGCTGGCCCAGCACAAAAAGTGCTGCTGTTCGCAAAGCTGATGGGTTTGTCTGCCATGGTCCGGAGCTCAGGCAAGAGCATTCCAGTGCAAGGCCTGAGTAGCTTTGAGGACATACGGATCGTGTGAACTTGGCAGAAAGAGGAAGAAACCTACGGTAGCTCATCATGCCATCAGCCACACCTTCGGGATGAGTTGCGTTGCGTCAGGAGGGGGAGGTACAATTGGGGCTGCTCGCCCCAGTCGCCCACGAAACTGCTCCAACCCGGGAGAAAGGCGACCACACAAGTTGACTGCATGCGCCCTTTGTTCTAGCGGAGCTTCTGCCCTTCATTTGCCCCTTGACTTTCTTTGCCCAAGGCCGGCGGCCTTCTCAGCGGTGACCCACAAGTGTGCGAGGCCTTTGAGGGCTCCTGGCCACCTCAGACGCACGATTCTGATGGGGGGGGGGGGGGGGGGGGGGGGGGGGGGGGGCTGTTCAGCGTGGAGGGATTTCGGCTTTCTTGGAGGTTGGGTTGTCAGGGTTTAGCTGAGCAAAAACTTGGGATTTGACGCTTCAACCTTCCAGTGGCTCATTCTTTGTGTTTTAGGTCTTCGGGCGCTCTAACCGGCAGGTGTAGCAACAGGGCTTGGGGGAGGTCGATGGGTTCAGAGAGGCCCCTGACTTCTAGCAGTCCTCTGCAGTCCTCTGAAACCTTACTGTGAGACCCTCTGACAAGGAACGCCTGGCAAAACTTCCTCTCCTTCTCCGAGAAGCTGGACGTGACCTGACGGTTTTGGCTGAAGACGGCCCATCATGGCTTATGAGCGATTCATCGTCTTGTCCTTGGGGGACTGAGCTGTGTGACATGTTTCCCAATCTTGCTGCTCATACCTCACGAACCTGTCTCTATTCTGCTACGCCACGCCCCCTCCCGACATTTTCCAACCTGCAGAATCATTAGGTGGACAGCCTGCCATTGAACGATGGAGGCGACGAGGCTGGGGGAGCCCTCAAGCACTGCGCACCGGTATTGGGCAACTCTAGTGCTGGGTTCTACGGCTCCTTTATCCCGCGCAACAGTTTTCGCGTGGGCGCGGCGCTCGCCTTGCGCGCCTTCGCCCACACACATCGCACATGCCTCACGCTTCGGTGCGTCGAGTGTCCATCGTAAAATACAACGCGTGGTTGTGGCATCATCCACGTGACAAGTATTGCGCTCTCGCCCATCTCGTGTGCGCGTTCCGTCGAGGTCGCACTCCTCGGTCGCGCTTCAGCTTGGCTCACAAGACTGTGGGGAAGTACTGTTTTGTTTCTCGGGCTTTTGGAATGCTTCGCTTCGACCGTTCTAATGGGGTTTACGGCGCACAGTCTCCGAAGTGCCACCGCTGCCTCGCATGCTTGTTGCGGTGTGCACGTGAGCTCGCACTGTTTGGAGCCTACGCGGGCATAGCTTTCTTTGGGGCTAGGCCGAGGCTTGATACTGGCAGACATAGCCATGAGGGAAATGCGGCACATGGCTGCACTTTCCGCACGGATCCCTGCATGTTATCTATGATCCTCAGCTTTGCAGGTGTCACAAAGTCGGTCCGGAGAAGTCCAGGCCAGGATTGCTACCCCTGAATCTGGGAACACCTTTGGTTTGAGTCCGGCAGCTGTGAAATGGCGTTGTTGTTGCTTGTTCTGTCATATTGTCATCTTTCGTATCACATGGTGAAGCTAAGCACGATACCAAGTATAGCAAGTGTCGGTTTGATTTCATGTTTTAAGAAGCTGCAACCAAAAACATGTGCGAAGTTAGCATACCCTCGGTTTGGCCAGCCAGAACCTGAAGACATGGCGCGGCGTCATTGCTTTAATTATGGCACGCTTGTCGTTCGAAGGAGCGACAAGGAGTATGCAGTGGACTCGCGTGTACGTACACAGAACGGAATAAAAGAGTTGCATATCATATATTCGTTGCACAAATGATAAACGGCTGACATGCCATCTTGTTTGATGCCAGCATGGCGATACTATAAGAACCCCTTCGGATGGGTGTTGGACAGACCAGTGAAGGCATGCATCCCACCCCATAGGTCGTAAAGCGCAGTACCAGGCAAGAGAGCACGCCTTGGCGCTGCTAACGCTGCAGCGACTCCACCTGGCCCCTCAGCCAGGAATTGAAACATCGTTGGCGTGAGTTGAGCTAAAGAGGGTTTAAGATTCTCTGTCAGGCGGTGGAAGGGTTCTGTGATAGTTGGTGCGCTTTCTTCGCGAGGACAGTTTGGTTTTGCAGGTTTGCAGCATGGGCAGGGGGGGAGGAACTACCAGGGCCCTGCAGAAGACCATGTGCTTGAGGCGCAGCAAGGTCAGTCAGAAGTATAGCATCACTTCCGATGCCCCCGCCCTAGACTCCTCTTTGCCTACAATATAGATTCGCTAGAGTGATTGTATGAAGCCTGGACCTGCACGTGCGTACATTGCAAGCAGCTCAACTCCATGCCACACTCGCATGGCACCCCCACAAGCAGGCAAGAGTGCAATTGTTGGTCACCGCCGGTGCACCCGACACGGGGAAGACCACACTCTTTCGCGAGGCCTGGCATGCGGTACTGTGAGCTTGTTGAGTGAGCTTCTTGTGCCTGGATGCGCTTGAGAAACCAAGGATGTTACAAGATGTTCAAAGGCTGCGAACTGCTTCTACATCGACGTAAAGCAAAAAAAACAGCTCACACTGCACCTAGAGAAGCATCCTTTTATGAGGTGTTCGGGCTCTCGCACCTGAAGGCTGGGCTCTCGGAGGCGGGTGTCACGTGCCAAAGAAACATCCCCTTCCGCACTAAACCAAGAGTATAGACAAGACTCGTCATCTCAGACTGTCCCAGACTCTTTCAAATTTTGTGTGTTCAGCTGCATGAGGAGAAGGAAGCTCTGACAGTTTTGCTAGTACAGACCTTCGGTGCGGATAACTGCAACCAACCGCAACAGTTTGCATTAGAGTGCACGCATTCTGTGAAGGAAAGATTCAGACGTGGCTTTTCAAGTGTCCATATATTACCAAAGGTTCCACATGCTATGTTGGGAAGCTGCAAAGTTGGTTGAGAACTGTGCGCTGATCATGAGGTTTCGCGTTGGGGCATGAAGATTGCTTGTGGCCATTCCCGTAGATGGTCGAGCACTTCACCTGATGTCAACCAATGCGGACACTGCAGGTTTGGGGCCTTTGGTGTGAAACTGTCTGCCCGGAACTCCAATTGCGAGCGACAACGCAGCGCTTCCAGCGGTTAATGTTAAGCTCGCGACGTGCGACATTACACCACCTCCAACGCCAGCTGTTTGCAAGCAGATTCAGCATGGGGAAAACAAAAGAAGCAGGCTGCATCCTGGCCGCAGGCGCAAACAGGCCCTTTCTCCATCCGAAACCTTGGTCGGCGCTTTCCAAACGCGCGCAAGACCTCAGATGGAAGCAGAACTGAGAAGACATGAGCTTCCCCTTGTCCTGGTTTGGCAGCCGCATGGTCTAAAGTAGGTCAGTAGAAGTCAGTTCAAGCTGCCGTGACGCTTGGAGCAGTGGCCAACCAAGATCCGATCTGCGAAGGACGCGCGGACAGATGAAGTGCTCTGCAACCTGCATCCCGCAGCGGATCTGCGTTTCAGGCGCGATAAACAGACTACGGCCCAAGTTAAGGCCTCTTTCTCAGTTCTCTTGTGTTAGTATGGACGTCTAAAGCAATGAGAAGGCAACTCACTGACAGTTGAGGTGGTTCTTGCCTGTGTTGCCGCCTTAAGCGCTGAAGTTGCATGAGGTTCGAATGGCGGAGATGTTTCATTGAAGTCCAGGGCCTCTTATGCAGAACATGATGTCGAAATGCCTTCCCATGCCCAATCCCAATCCCAGTCAGCGCAAGGCCTGTGTACCTTGTTGACACGCCGGGGTTCGGCGACGGTGCTCAGCTCCACCGAAGCTGGGCACCACACTTTCCCAAATGCGGTAGGATGGGTAGGACTAGGACCCTGGTTTTATTGTCGAAACAGTTCTGTCCGAAGTGGTCGAAGCAGTTCTGTCCCCTCAAAAAACATTTTGCACAATACATCTATCCCTTCGTACTCTGTTAATGTTCAGCTCTGGTCCCTTCCCAGTCTATTCCTTCCGCTTGAACCTTTGCCGCAAACGATGTGCCAGCACCAAAGGTTCTTGTGTTCAAAGTGAAAGAAAGCGCGGCACTTTGGACAAAATGGGTACTTTTTTCCACAGTGCGGGCGTGCGGCGTTTGCACAGACTTTCGTAGTACAGACGTAGTGCGCGGAGGACGTCTGGAGCTCAAGTGGCTCGAAAGTCGTAGTACATGGAACACCAATGGCTCCAAGTCGCTCTTTCCGTGTCCCCATGAGTAGAGTAGTCCTTGAGGGATGTTGGGGTCGCTAGCAAAACGGATCTCTTGCGGCTTCGGATTTTTTAGCAATTTCTTATTCCCGTTCTAAGGAGCCCGGGATGCAAGGTATATTGGGTATTGGGGCCCATTGCATGCCGCAAGCTCAAGCTGAACACTGCACGGATGCTGCGCCAAGGAAACGACATGTGCCGCCTGCTGCTCCACGTAGCCCGCGCTCTCGCCAGCAATGTCCTGGCCTCGAAAGAGTCCGAGAGTCAGAGATTGCATGCAAGCGCGCGATCATCGAGCTATCACGGAGTTTAGGGGGATAAGGAGACTCTACAAATCTATGCAGCTCCAAAGCCTGGTCGAGAGCAGAAGGAGGATGACAGCAGCTAGTTGATTGATGCACACAAGCAAGCAGGCAAAGGTCATAAAACAGCATACGCTGATATGAACACACATACTCGTTCATGTGCTGCCCGACCCTCACCAAACCAACCCTGAACGCCTTTCTCCTCACCTAGAACGCCGCCTTGTCCCTAAGTTGCAGCTGCTCTGGGTGCTCCGAGCGGGCCGCCATGCACGGGATGAGGCTCAGCAATTCGTGCCTCGGCTCGTGGCAGACTGCGCACCTTCGGGTTCTGGTAGTTGTGCCGTGAAGGGCTAGTGCCGGGCTGACAAAGAGGCATCGTACGGCATCGTGTAGGTGATTCATGGTCTGTCTAGTGGCAATCGTCGAAAAAACAAAGAACACGACCGCTGCGAATGCTCAGTTCATCCACGTTTTGACGCACGCCCCAAGCAGAAGCACGTAGCAAATCAATAGGAATGACAGCAAGCGGTAAGGCAATGAACACCCAGGTGATACTATATTGCATGTTACGCTGCTCACATCAATTCCTCCCCGTTTAGCCGTCCCATTCCATGCTCCAGGTACTGTCGCTTCTGCAAGCCACATCGCGGCCCCCGCTGGCCTTTTGCCGCCAGGGAAGAGAAGAAGGGGGGGAGGGGGGGGGCGGGATGGCTACTTGTGGCTTCGCAAAGGCTCATGTGCACGTATTCTGACGATCTGATTACACCAGAAAACTGCCTTTGATCGCAACTCCTCACGCATCTGTAGTAAAAGCAGCTAAATGCGCCACCTTGAGCTGTAAAACCTCCTTGCTGAAGTGGACACGTCATGCTTAGGTGCTGGTGACTCATGTGGACAAGCTTTTCGAGGACTGTTGGACGAACTTCAGGTAAACTTCGGACTGCAAGACTGCCTCTGTGCCGGGCAGCTACCTCGGGCGTTTCCAGTTTAAGGGTCAAGCCACACCTGTCATTGCGGGCTTGTCTTGAGCAGCGTTCCCCATTCTCAGGACAATCATCCCCGATCCCGCTGGCCTTATGGAAAGTACTGGTAGAATCAAGTTGTGCTGCACTTTCTTGAACGGTTTTTTGGCCCGCCGCAGACCTTCAGTGATTGTTGTTGCTCGACGGATAGGACGTCAACGGATTGAGCCGGATTGAGCCTCTCGCCGATAATCGGTAGGAGGGGCGTCAGTGAACGGATCCTAGCATGGGCCGAGTCTCCTACGGAGTTCCGACAAACGAAGTCCTGTTGCTCCAACCCTGCTTCTGAGGGCGGAGCAAAGCTAAGGGACAAACCGGCCACTACGTCTGAGAGCGGCGCAAAACCAAAGGCCAACCGAAGATGCTATGACAACTTGGCAGCGGCTAGACAATGGACAAAGTACAAGAGGTTTGACTGTGCGAGAACCCTTGCCCACCGGCACGCGCAGCACAAGACGCCCAGCAGACAAAGCAGAACATGGCTAAAGGCACGCATCGGGTCTGCCCCATGTGGGACAGTGACTGGCAGATCACTTGGTGGCCAGCTCAAAGTGTGCAAGGGTCTTCCGTCCGGCACTCATGCAGCCATGAGGGCCGCAGCAGCAAGGCGTGCAGCGGCACCGAAGCCTCAGCAGCGAGCTCAGCCCGCCGTCGCAGGGCCGCTCGGGCCCGAAACGACCGAATGGTGGCACACAGATCCTGTGTTGCTCGACAACTCGCTGTTCGTAGTTCAATGCTCTCCTCGGCCGTGTCAGAAACCAGCAACCAGAGGCCTGCTGCTGCTAAGCATCGTGCGTGATTTCAAATCCGCTATTCTCCTGACCCACATTGCCATAGTGACTATGCCGCAGTGCTGATCTTCAGAAGTGCTCCGTACTCCTCGCCCAGGTCTACACCTAGAGAATCCAGAGAATCCTGCAAACATCCTGCAGAGTATCGGGGTGCCCGAGAAATCATGCAGAGAAGTCGCGGCATACCCCCGATGATCCCCACTGCAGATGGTCCCATCTGCAGCACCCGACTAAAAACCGTGCAGATAGTGCCTAAGAATAAGGAGTCTGGGAAGAAACCCACAGAAACTCCAACACAGCCAGGAGCGGTACCGCGAAGTCGGACCCCAATGGCGCTTCTTGGGCCTGACATTTCGTAGCATCGGGTTCGGCATTTCTTGGGCCAAAGACCCCAGACCATGTGGCAGAGAGCATTGCTAGTAACTGCAAATGTCGCCAAATTCTGCCAACCATAAAACATAGTTATTCTGAAGTATTCCGCGCATCCTGAATCATTGGAAATTCGGCTGATCACAACAGCACTCTTGGAAGGTTAGCCTCAGCCTCTCTTTCGCGCGCGAGACTCTGCTTGCTCCCCTACGGGAGCAGCTAAGGCGACGGCCTCTTGCAGGGCGTGCCGCCCAAAGACCCACGTTGGCGGAGTCAGCGCCGGGTGCTAATGCAGGCCAGAGTCGCCTCTCCCCCGCCCCAACACCTCTGTCTTTGACGCAGCGTGAGTGACTGTACAGCTACACCGGTTGTGTCATCAACATGACAGAGCACTCCACCGCTGCCGCGAGCAATGCGCTAAAAGATTGTCTCCCTCGTGAACTCCCGTGCCCACGGCCCAATTATCACGTGAGTTGGAGAGTTTCGAGGAGGGGTGTCTTCGTCCACTGCAGGAGCTCCGTGATGAAATCTCCGCAACGATCCGAAGCAGTTTGCACCTGCAGGAGGCCGCCGCAGGAGACATCAGGAAAAGCTGAAAAAGCTTGGTTAAGAAACCTGCACCTGCGAACGAATTAGACAACACGCTGAACTTGACCCCCGGGGCGTCGAAATTTTGCTGCTGTCGCTCCAAAGTGCATATTCTCAAGGGGCATAGCTTTGAGCTGACCGGCATTCAAGGTAACGTAACGGTCACGTGGAGCACACCGAGTTTACACTCTACATATCCCCGAGACTAGTCGTAGCTGCAAACGACTCGTCGTCGCAGGGAGAAGAGTTTTTGCTTCTGGACCTTGTTGTGATTGTGTGGTTGTGGAGGTGCACTGAAGCGTACTCCGAGGATTGCTGGCTGAGGGTACACTTTCTGGACTTGGGTTGTGGTTGAGTCACAGAAACACGTGCAGATATAAACTCCATAGTCTATCGTCCGGAAGCGTCAACAAATCCAAACAACCACGCCTCACGCCCCTTCAAGTCAGCCGAAGGCCTCCCCTCAACAGTATGACTTGCCACGGTCCAGCCAGGCGGAGGACGTGGAAGTGCTGTTCACTTGTCAGGGTGGCTGGATGGCGCGGTCCGACGAAGTGGAGGAGGAGTGGAATTGGAAGGAGGATTTGAGACCCTACACTTTGGTTGTCCTGAGCCAAGGCCCCCGCACCTCCTTGGCGTTGTGCTGAGACAGAAGTTCTTCCCACAAGTTCCGCCAATGCCAAACCACCATCAAAACTAAGGCATCGTATTGAAAAAGCATGCATTGGTTGTGTCCCCAAGGTCATATTCTGGCATGTGCGATCAAGGGATTGGATCAGAGGGTTTGCATCGCCGTAGCTCCTCGAAGATCTATGGTCGGATCTTTCAAATGCGCCAGGGCTTGCCGCATTTGCGGCATGTTGTTCTGCTGCTGGTTCTCACAAATGCTTTGCTGCCACTTCTTTCGCACAGCTACGGCTGGAGCCGAAACTTAGTGAGGTTGGGAGTTCTTTCAAGGGCCGCATCATCAGCAACTAAAAGTCGAAGCAATCCTCAGCTGACAACGCCCACGCCAAGCCTCAAATGCCCCAAACGACGAAGAAGCGGTGATGGAGGACGAATTTGCCGAAACTCCTCCGTGGCCCTGGGCTCGAACTGAGTTGATACTCGGCACGGATTGTGAAGATAGGTTTGTATCCTCTTGACCAGGCACAAGCACTGCCGAAGCCTACGGAGCTCGTCATGTTATGGGGCTTGGGAAAGCTCAACGTGTCTGATGGTTCATACTGGGTGTGGCGTGCATTCTGCATACTGAAACCAGGAAATTGTTTCGGGAGCGTTGCAGGCCCTATCGCTGATTGCTGTGGGCTCACGTCGAAGCCCAAATGCAGACAGCTCATGGGCCATTCATGGAACGAAGCCCGCGCCACCTCGCACAGAACCTAAAGCATGACCCGTAGAATTGCACTGAGTCGAAGTGACCCTGAAGCGATGTACTGTAGCTCCTGCTCAGACTGCCCTTGCGATGACTTGCAGATAGTTGAGATGTAGGGCCTCTTGCAGCTTGTTGTGTGCGCGTGAGAAGTGTCAAAGGGTCGAAAGCATCCGAAAAGCAAAAAGCCCAGCCCCCGCCCTCCCGAAGACTTGTCCTCTCAATCGAATCTCTTTGTCCTCTCTCGTTGAAAGGACGGAGTTCTATGGCATCTTAGACCGGCGAGAGCTCCGCCAGCTCCTGGACACCCGATTGGGCATCTCGCCTCGGGCAGATGCTGTCTGAGCACAGCTTGAGAGCACTTTGAAACAGTCTACTCAGAACGAGGAGTTTGCAAAGTTAGGTTTCGAGTGAAGAAAGTGCCGAATTTCAGGTGTTTTTTGGTTGCTGTTAGCAGGAAAATGTTGGACTCCACCCCTCAGATCCTGCACCTGTCAGGGCGTGCAAAACGCACGGCAAAGTGTCTCACCCTTAAGTTGACCCGAAGATCGCAAAAAGAGTCGCCCACACGAGCGTGCCGTTGCAAGAGAGCCTAGGGCCCCGTTAAGAGTGCGGGTTGTTCAAGAAGCTGTTTCCATGCACCATCTAGAGGGCTCCCAGCTCAAGAGCAGCCGTCCCCATGAAGAAACCTAAAAAAGGGCGGCGCCCACTGGCACCCACGCACCTGCGCTGTGCATTTTCGGCTCTTTCAAAATAGTTGGCTGACGCCACCATGTCGAGGCTCTTTTTTTGTCAGATTGCTATCCATTGACGCTTCTCATTGGTATCAAGCGGTCGTGTCCCGCAAGTGGTTCTTATGGCTGGTTGCAGGGCAGCGCGACCACATGTGCACTCTAGACTGTTTCTTCCTGGCTTGGTCAGCGCTGCGACTGGCGCTTTCGAGGGGCTCGCGGGGCACGCGCATGCAAGAATGGAAAGGGTAGAGAAAACGGCCGCACCATAATGTAGATCAATGTCAACAGTGGTACATTTTGCCAGCCCTAGCCGGCCGTAGGTTCGCTTAAATCTTCTTTTTCGGGTTCGCTTGGAACTTCTCTTCTGCTACTACTACTACTACTACTACTACTACTACTACTACTACTACTACTACTACTACTACTACTACTACTACTACTACTACTACTACTACTACTACTACTACTACTACTACTACTACTACTACTACTACTACTACTACTACTACTACTACTACTACTACTACTACTACTACTACTACTACTACTACTACTACTACTACTACTACTACTACTACTACTACTACTACTACTACTACTACTACTACTACTACTACTACTACTACTACTACTACTACTACACTACTACTACTACTACTACTACTACTACTACTACTACTACTACTACTACTACTACTACTACTACTACTACTACTACTACTACTACTACTACTACTACTACTACTACTACTACTACTACTACTACTACTACTACTACTACTACTACACTACTACTACTACTACGACTACTACTACTACTACTACTACTACTACTACTACTACTACTACTACTACTACTACTACTACTACTACTACTACTACTACTACTACTACTACTAACTACTACTACTACTACTACTACTACTACTACTACTACACTACTACTACTACTACTACTACTACTACTACTACTACTACTACTACTACTACTACTACTACTACTACTACTACTACTACTACTACTACTACTACCACTACCACTACCACTACCACTACCACTACCACTACCACTACCACTACCACTACCACTACCACTACCACTACCACTACCACTACCACTACCACTACCACTACCACCACCCCTACCCTCAACCCTAAACCACCCCGAGCCCTAGACCCTAAACCCGAACCCCTAAACCCTAAACCCTAAACCCTAAACCCTAAGCCCTAAGCTCTCAGCTCTAAGCCCTAAACCTTACCCTGAAAACCCAAGTGAGCCTGAAAAAGAAGATTTTAGTAAGCTAAAAGCTTGTTTTGGTGCAGGTGCAAGTGAACCCAAAATTGAAGGGCTTAGCGAGCCAGAGCCCGCCCTAGCCCAGTCAACCCAACATTGTCAAGTGTCACTCACACGAAAGGTTCACTTGCACCGAGGCTGGGATGCAAAAGAGAGACGACGGGAGCATGATATCCAAGCCAAGTCATACATTTGTCAACAAACGCCGAAAGCGATCGCCGCACTTGTGCAAGAGCTGCGAAACCGGCCGATTCCGTGCACTAGAACCTAGAATGTTGACAGACTGTTTTTCGAAAAATGAGTACTGTTCATTCACTCGGCAACTGGAAAGACCATATGCGCGCCACGTCTGAAGGTGTTGTTGCAATGCGGCTGCTGACGGGGTGATGGGGAGTCAGGAAGACGGGGCGAGGCATATGGCATGGTCCTGACATTGGCACGGTTATGCCGTTATGCCGATTGATTGTGCTGTGGTCTGTGGTCCGATGGGGGCGGCCAGAATCTTCAAAAAAGGGAGCTGGGCTAAACAGGCTTATGCATGTCTTGTCTGACAGGTCCACAGGTGAATGGTCCTGGCGAGGCACACATCTGGTTCTTCCAAGTGGCATTCTGGGGAAGAGATCACGACTTGAGCAACACTCGTTTTGGTTGCTGAGTTGCTGTGGTTTGTTTGAGGCAGAAAGCTGATCAATCTTGCTTCTAACTGCCAGTGACTACCAAGGACCTGCCCGAGCACGTACATAATTCTCTAAGCCCCCAATGTATGTCCCATCCCAGCAGCATTGTTGGACTTCAGGCCGCGGCAAGCCTCGCCCTGTGACGCCTGGCTTGGTCGACCGCTACAGTGATGAGGCGGGGCCTTTGCAACATGGGGGTTTACGAAACTAAGGGACCCGATAAACCCCGCATAGTAGGATTCCTGGTAATAAGGACTCCAATAAGGTACCCCTAATATCGTAAACCCCCCTATTCGACTTCTTTAGCTTAGCCAGTGATCTCGACCACAGGCTCTTAGGCTGCGTGCCCTTAAGGTAAAGGGGTGAGACGTCCAACGTTGAAGGGCCAACTCCCATTGCTGTCCAAGCCTTGTTGCATTGTTTCCGGCAAGAATCAGCCCAAACCCGGGAAGCTTCTTCCTACCCAGTGCGAGGCCACGTGGGAGACCTCCGACTGGAAGGCCCCAAGCCTGGCTCTGTGTCAAAGGGGGTCCAGAGCTTTGGGCGATTTTGGGTGAAAAACTCCGATCCAATGCTGATGCCCGGCGCTGTAGGCTTTCTCAAGTGAGAGACAGTTCAGACTAAGGCGAAGAAGTCTTCATGGGTTTCAAGCAAGCCGGCCCCTCCAGTTTTCAACTTCAGTCTGCGGCGAAGCCATCAGTTTCCATGCGACATGTATGACCAATGCTTTGCACACAGTGCCCCACAAGAGATGCCGCAATCCCGTGCTGAGGTGGGAGCCAGCTACGAGACAGAGACATAAGGAGGTTGGAGCAGGGCTTAAAAGCTGTAGACCTGGGTGCTGATATGATCTGATATGACACCCAGCGACATGGTCGGTCAGCGTGCACTACCGATCATCACACCCAGCACCGTCAGCAAAGTCATGCTCATGACCATTGACTTACTCTCCTAGCCCAGATGACTGACCATGAACTTGAAGATTGCAATGTCAGTTTCATCTGCACAGCGTTCATCATTCGCAACGATCAACATAGGTAGCGAAAATTCTGCAAGCCCCAAAATGCGCTGGAGCCAAAGTAGATCCTGCCGCCAGTCGTGGCCGTCCCTTTGGGGCTGGTGGAGTGCGGACCCCGACCTGGAAGTTGGCATAAGTTGGCCAGCAGATTGAAAGCTACCGCTGCGCAGGCTTGAAGGTTTGCAAAGATGTTTCGATGTTCAGGTTCGTGGGACGGTTGGTGTGGAGACTTTGTTGAGACGGCACTTCTGGCATGGAGAGCTGTCGGTCAAGCGGTCTGCTGGCAGCAGTCTATCTCGTCCGTATGTTTGCAACATGACCCTCAACACCGCAAAGAGGCAAAAAGAGAGTTGCCTCCCGTGAGTTAAGCGCAGAAAGGCCCTCTTGAGGTCGCTCGACTCTGCGGGCCTTCGGCCTGAAAGGTTTTTGTTCCTTTTTTGCCACATCCCTGGATTTGTTCTGAGGTCGATCCTCCGGTGGCTGGTACGGACACTCGAAGCACGATAAACACGGACCTCATGGGGCAGAGGGTTGTCAGGATTTCCTGAGGGCTGCAGCTACATGCTCTTTGTCCGCGAAGGCAGGCTTCAACCCACAACACTAGAAAGCTTTGAACCCAGATCCTGACGCATTGAGGCCGAAGCCGACAACGTTATTTCACAGCATTCTTGCAGAGTCTTTGTGGAATTTGCCCCTGTTCGTGGGGGTTGCCTCGTATTGCCAAGACAACGATCATCTATCGGCATGCCGCACGATCATCTATCGGCATGCCGCATCCGAGAAACCCTCCTCTCTTCCCAAGCTCCGCAAGAGAGGACACGAGTTCCACAAGGAGCCACAAGCAGCCTGTGGGAGCCTTAATCCGATAAGCAGCTTAAGGTCCAAGTCTGGATAGGGGGGGGGGTACTTAAGCAGCTTATCGGGGTCATGTCGGGGAGACTTTCTGACAAGAACTGTTCGGCATTCTGTCTCGAAGAAAGTGAGGCTACAGTATCCGACTGAAACCTCCATGTGGTGATCTGTTATCGGTGGCAGGGACACGTGGGTTTCGAGACGAGTGCTGTTTCAGTGAATCAGCCCATCCCAATTGTCTTGTCAGAGTCATCGACCCCTCATGGCTGAGCCAGACCTGTGCGGAATGGCAATTCAATGGAAACCCAAACGTTTGACTTAGGCTCTTTTGATGGCTCCAACACGTGGGATCGCCGCAGCACCTACGACTCCCATGGGAAAGGCCAGCACAAGAACAAGTGTTCTCGTCCTAGGTGTGGACAGCTGATGTAAACACTCCCTTCGAGCCAAGCAATTCCTGCACGTAGCCCTGAGTCACCCTGAGCACTGTACCATCACGGGCATGAAATTGATGTTGCCCATGCCCTCGCGGCACACGTGTTGAGGGTAGTTCGGATAGGCTTCGGGTATTCCAAGCAAGGCAGACCTGAAGTGATTCGACACGTTTTATTCATTGTTGCGGAAGCACATCCTCGAGTTGTCCGAAGCTGGCTTTAACAGCCGCATGACAGAGACTGCACAATGCGATTCTGGGATTGGAAGTCATCCGGGTAGTGGCGCTGACATTGAGCTGTGCAGACTTAGAAGATGTGAGTTTGGCCACTCAGGCA